CTGGGTTTGAACCTGCTACCTCTGGTATATGGGGCTGGCACCCTACTCACTGAGCCACAGGCACCACCCTAAAAACTGTTTGAAGTTATTGGCCTTTAGAACATGATTCCTTTCCTTTAGTTTTGTGACACCTCATCAGGGCACGCTCATTTTCAGTGACTTTAAGCAAAGTCACTGGGGTCAGTGGGACCCTAAGCAAAGTATATTAACAATATCCTAATTGTCACCTCAACTGTGGGAGCTCTGCTGCAAGATAAAACCATCCATTAAAAGGTGAATTGCTTAAATGTGACTCTGGTTTGCAATGCTTTCCACGTCTGCGCAACACAGGGTGCCACATAAAATTGTTACTTGAATATCAGTGAGAGCCTCTACGAGCCTGGGAGGCTGAGGCAAAAGAATCGCTTAAGACCAGGAGTTGGAGGTTGCTGTGAGCTGTGACACCACGGCACTATACCGAGGGCGATACAGTGAGACTTTGTGCTTAAAAAAAAAAAAAAAAGATATATATAAAATACATATATAAATGTAAATATTTTTATTTATTTAAAAAAAAATATATATATATATTTAGGCTTCTGCTTTGTTCCAGGACAGCTGTAGGGCCGAGGCCGCAATGTTGGCGAAGCGAGGCCGGAGGAGTACGGTCATTTGGACCCCCTGGGTGAGGGAGGACGTCCGCTGGAGAGCACGGGGAGCGGGGGAGCGGGTGTGCATGGCTGGTCCGGGGGTCTCGGGGCGGGCGGTGTGAAGGCGCGGGCCGCGTGCTCGCCGCTGGATCCGCTGGGTGAGCCGCCCGGGCTTGCCTCGCCCTGACCCGGAACGCAGACCCACCGCCCGCCCGAGCCCTGCAGCTGCGTCCCGGGGACGCCGCGGAGATGAGGGCAGGCGCCAGTCCCGAGAAGGCGGCCTAGCTCCGGGGCGGAAGCCGGAGCAAGGCTTCCGGTGGCGCGGGGCGTGGCTGAAATCCGGCTGGGACTTCCGGCGGTGCGGGAAGCGCGGCGTACCAGGTCCGGGTCGCGGGGTCGCGTCACTGCGGAGACAGCCGGTGTCCTGGGCGTCGCATAGTGGGGACCGACGGGCTGTGCGCGACCCGGGCTGGTTCCGGGTGGTGGCGGGCGGGGCGGGCTTGCCAGGTGAGTGTCACCATCCTCCCAGCTGTGGAGCTTGAGTTCTTCCCGGGACGCCCAGAGGAGGGTCAGGCGCCGGAGGGGATGGGGCGGAGGAGGGGACCAGGCACAGGAAGGGACAACGTGCCGGAGGGGATGGGGCAGGGGAGGGGTGGGATGGAGGAGGGGGCCGGGCACTGGAAGGGACAGCGTGGCGGAGGGGATGGGGCGGAGGAGAGGACTGGGCACAGGAAAGGACAGAGTGTCGGAAGGGATGGGGCAGGGGAGGGGTGGGATGGAGGAGGCGGCCGGGCACTGGAAGGGACGGGGCTCCAGAGAGGTCGGGCACAGGAAGGATCGGCCCTGGGCCCCAGTGCGCCCTTGCTCTCTCCTACCGCAGGCGCCTGGTCCTGGGCACTCTGGACTGCCTGTGCTTCTGGGGAAGCACTTCGGAAGCTTTTGGTGGAGGAGGCTGTTTTTTTTTTTTTTTTTTTTTTTTTTTTAGCTCACAGCAACCTCCAGCTCTTGGGCTTCAGCGATTTTCTTGCCTCAGCCTCCCAAGTAGCTGAGACTCCAGGCATCTGTCACAACGCCCGATATGTTTATTGTTGTTGTTGCAGTTGTCTTTGTTCTTTGGCAGGCCCTGGCCGAGTTTGAATCTACCAGCCTCAATGTATGTGGCTGGTGCTGTAAACCACTGTGCTATGGGCGCCTAGCCTTATTTACTTTCTTGAATTAGAGTCCTTCCAAATCCCCTTTGAAATGTGGTCCTCAGACGTGAGTACAGCATCTAGACCAATGTGTAATAAATGGAGTGCTGCTGTTGTTCCTTGGTTTTGGACACTGTCTCTGAGTTAGTACTGCCCATAGAATCGACACTGGCCACATCAGGGTGACCTTGGGCAAGGAACTTCTCAAGCCCTCCCTTCCTGTTCTCTAACATGATCTTTCTTTGTTTTTCTTCTTTGCGACAGAGTCTCACTTTGTCACCCTCTGTAGAGTTCTATGGTGTCATAGCTCACAGCAAGTCTAACTCTTGGGCTCAAGCGATTCTCTTGCCTCAGCCTCCCTACTAGCTGGGACTACAGGCTCCTACAACACCCAGCTAGTTTGTTTGTTTGTTTGTTTTTGTTTAGCAGGCCCTTGCTGGGTTGGAACCCACTAGCCCTGGTGCCTGTTGCTGGCACCCTTATCACTGAGCTATGGGTGCTCAGCCTCTAACATGGTTTTTCTATCAACCTGTGTCATTTTGTTGTTGGAAAGGTTATGGCATGTGATATATGCGGAGCTTTCTTACAGAGTGCTAGACACAGGAGATCTCCAGTGTGTGTGTTTCCTTCCTCTTCTCTCAACTTCTTGGTACTTCTCTGTGGGCAGCCATGTTGGACTGTTTACTTAAGCTGTGATTGCCCTGTGCTAAACTCCTTAGGTTCTTTTCCCTGGGGTTATCCTGCCTTGATTTTTTTTTTTTTTTTTTTTTTTTTTAGGAAAAGATTTTATATTTATTAAATTTTGTCTTTGTTTTAAGCTCATTCTTTTGATGATTGAAATCTTTAAAAAAATCTTGGTAATTATTTATCAGATTGATGTTGTTTCCCATTTCAGTATCACCTACGGAATTGATAGTGTGTATGTATTCCATGCCTTCATCTCATCAGTGACAAAATATTTTAAGCAGGTCAGTAATGATATTTCTTTTTTTTTTTTTTTTTTTTTTT